ACTGCTACTGCTACTACTACTACCCCTACCACTACCACTACTACTACTACTACTACTACTACTACTACTACATCCTCTTCTCATATCTCCTTCTTGGGTTCACTCTTGTACGAAGCTACATAAACACGCGAACCCCTACAGAACCGTGTGCACTTGCGCGCCCCTATAAACCCAAACCACGGATTCCACGGACGTTGACCGTCACTTAGATGCGCTGAACCCTAAACTAACCCAAAACCCTAAACCTGAACCCTAAACCCTAGCTTTCACAAATTGGGAGAGCAGGTTCGCTGCCGATGTGACGGCTAGATAACAAGGTGAAAATTGGGCTGCCCACGATTGGCTTGTTAATGTGTGGATTTAATGATTTATTGGACTTGGAGGGGTGCTGACATCTAACTGTCCTTATATCGGGAGGCGACTAACTTTCAGTTTGCCGCTGCCCCTTCTACTAAAACCACCTTTTGGGTTAGGGCTCAGGATTAACTGCTCACGCGATGTAGTCTTTCTCCGGGATACATGCTTTCTCGTAGAAGACAACAAGTCGTCGCAACGCACGAATACCATTTCTAGTGCAGTGCTGCGTTGGGTGGCGATTGCAACAATGCCCAAAACCATTCAGAATTAGGGTTCTATATGTTAAAAACAAGATTTAAAATTATCCCAAGCCGGCACCTAGCACCCTAAAGCCGAAGCCCTAAAACCTCACACGAGACCTACAACTTCCGGCTTAGTTCTTCTCGGGCTGGGGGTTGCAGACGCGAATACCGTTCGCCGGCTCACAGCATGCAGTGTGCCTGCCACAGAGACGGATCTAAAATTCAAAACGCTTATGGGCTTAGGGTGTAGAGTTTGAGGCTGCGGGTTCAAGGCTTAAGGTTCAGGCAGTTTAACATAGGGGCCATAACAAAAAGAACAGGCTTTTGGGGCCCATTATGCTATAACTATAATAAGGAACCCCCAGCATTAGCATAGGTAAATTGAAGCCCCAATTAGGCATTTTTGAGCCGCAAATCTCGAACCGCAATCCACTGCCAGACCCTGAACCCGTAAATCCTATGTCCCGCACCGCCCAACACCGAAAGTTGGTTTTAGGGGTTTTAGGGTTTAGGATGGGGTTTCGGTTCTTTAGGGTTTATGAGGGGTTTTAGGATTAAGGGTTTAGGGTGGTTAAGAAGCGGAAACGACCCTACGCAACGTCATGAACCGTCGACCCTTACTCAAGCTGAATGCCTATACCTTTAAACCCGAAAAACTCTATACCCGAAACCCTATTAAACCCTATTAGACCCTATTAAGCCCTATTACACCCCATTATTCCTATTAAACCCTACTAAACCCTATCAAACCCCTATAAGCCCTAAACCCCAAGACTAAAGCCCTGAACCCTGTCTTAAGTATGAAGACTCTTAGAAGATCCATGCTCGATCTAAATTACAGGATTTAGGGTATAGGGTTTAGGGATTGGGGTTCAGGGTATAGGGATTGGGGTTTAGGGTTTAGGGTTTAGGGTTTAGGGTTTAGGGTCTAGGGTCTGTAGGGTTTAGGGTATGAGGTACACTATCCACTATCCACCCCCGTTTGTGCACCCATAGCCCGGTGTATTTAGGGGTTTCCATGAGGAAAGGGGCAGGGGATATATTAACGTCAAGTTAGGTATACTTCTCATGCTCATGACCTACAAGCTCAACCAAGGTACTGGCCACTTTCTGTCAGCTTCGCCTCATCCCACATCGACTCCCATTCTCGAAATCCAACAGAGAGGCAGCATCAAGGGAAAATAAACCCTATACGCCCTAAACTCTCAACCCCAAAATCCAAGGACCTTTTAAGCTTTAGGAGCCTCGGGTTTAGTCTCTGCATGTTGCGAACACGACACGTGTTTAGCTTCACGGGGTTGCTTGACAGACCTTGTGAGTTCGTAAGTGATGAAGAGGTCTGAATCGCTAAACGTGTCAAACCAATATCTTCATGCTCCCATCGTATCACCATGACCTATAATGTATATACCCAACAAATCCGAATACAGGATCCCCCTGCCGACGAAACACCCTGCACAATGCCGTTATGGATTCGTTGTAAGAACACTTCGCAACGTATCCAACAATTCAGGCCCCTTTACTAAGCTTCATGGTCAAGCAGGTGCGGGAACCACCACCCTCATTCCCTAAACCCTAAATCCCATTACCCTACACCCTACACCCCTGACCCAACGACCCTGGACACCTGGACTGGCTGCATAAACAATCCGAGGGTGCAGCTTCAGCAACGGTAGCAGCAGATCTTCCTTCGGCGGCGTGACATATAAGGTTTTTTGAAGGTTTAGAGACCCTAAACTCTCAACCCTGAAACGCTGAACCCGGCTTAGAGACCGTAAAGCCTTAACTCTTAGAAGATGTAGGCTTGACAGCTTAAGTCTGGAAAATGCTTGAAAAGGTGGGCTGAAGGTCGGTGATGCCCGGCCCTGTGCCCTTTTGTTAGGGTTTAGTTTTTTTTTTTTTTGTTGGGGGGGGGGGGTTTCAGGGTTTATGGTTCAGGGTTTCGGGTTTAAGGCTTCGGGTTCAGGGCTTAGGGCTTAGGGTTTGGGGTTAGGACAGCTTTTAACGAATCCAACCTCAACCTAGGCATAAACCTGAGATCTTCAACCCCTCCACCACTGAGCTTAATATAGGGGCCTTAATAATTAAAATAGAGTTTTAGGGACCACTGCACTATAATTATAATAAGGAACACCCAAAATAATGAGGTAATCATTTAGGCCCATCTAGTACACCCGTCCTTAAACCCTACCGTATGATTTTCTTCCATGACGGGTTCCCAGGAGCAAACCAACTTGAAACTGAAATTCTCTGAGAGAGACCCCCTATAGAGCCCTTCAAGGAACCGTTGAAGGAAACCAAATGCCCATCCATGAGCCGAAACACATCGTCAGCTGCTCCCCTCGAACACCTTCCAATAGCTCCTGGGCTTATCAAGGGCTCGCAGGGTTTGGGAAACCCTAAATCCTAAACCCCCCATTCAGGGTTTATAGGTTTATAGGGGCGATTCATTTCAGGATTGTTGAAAGGGCCCTGAGAGGGTTCCATAAGGCTTGCTTTTCTTGTGTTTTGATGAGGCTTTAAATGGTTGTAGGTCTTCGGCGTTTGAGGGCTTTGTGTAGTTGTTGCGGGCTTCGCCAACCACAGCCTATACTTTCTGACAGTCCCTATGGTTCCCTATGGCTTCTAAAAGCCCCACAGAACACAAGTTTTAGTTGATTAAGCTTTGAGGATTAGGGTTGTTTGTTTGGGGCTTGAGAGGCTAAGGGTTGTGTACGGTCTTGTCAATTAGGGTTTAGGGTATAGGAGGGTGTTTGAACGGCTTTCTGGGAGCTTTAACTGGCTTCTTGTAGGGTTTGTGGAACTCACCTTTCGGTCAAAAACGATAGCCGAGACTGTATACCACGCGTTGTCATCCAAAGCTCAGATAGCTGCCACCCTCTCAGTGGTGGCATGGAGAGCTACGGTGCTACGGCCGGCTAAAGTCATAGTAATAATAGTGATGGTAATAACAATAATAACAACATCGGTAGCAAATATAAGGAATGCATAACAGTAGCAATAATAGCATCAACAATTTTGAGAACAGTTTTGACAGAAGTGAGCAAGAACAGAGCAATAATATATCTGAATTCCCGCATAGGGGAAAGATTCCGGGGGCCCTCAACCCAACAATGCCATCACATCCACACAAAAACCAAACAATCCTGTCAGCTGCTGTAAACCCACATCATACTAGACTTTGTTAGAACTCCTCCAGTCTTTGCAGCCGAAACCGTAAACACACTGAGCCCTATGTCAAAGAGAGACCACAGCAGACCCCTGAAACTGCTCTTGAACTCATCAGTACAATACATTCCTAAGTTCAGTTCAAACCCCTAAGCCCTAAAGCCCTAAACCCTAATTCCTAAGTTCAATCCAAACTCTACCATGACCCTACCATGACCCTGCTGCCACCCCATACTAAGCCGAACTAGAGCACACCACTCAGGACCCTCATGCAAACTCTGCTCTAAGTGAACCCCAAACCCCTGTAAATATATCCAATAGACCACTATAATCATCCTGAAAATCTGTGTAATAACCCTGGTTGCAAAATCACCCTAAACCCTAAACCCTAAACCCTAAACCCTAAACCCGAAACCCTAAACCCTAAACCCTAAACCCTAAACCCGAAACCCTAAACCCTAAACCAAATCACCCTAAACCCTAAAGCCTAAACCCTAAACCCTAAACCCTAAACCCTAAACCCGAAACCCTAAACCCTAAACCCGAAACCCTAAACCCAATGTTCACAAACACAATGACTACACCTAGGCTCGGAGGGTGGCAGCACTTGCCCATTGACCTGCGCAGCTTGGTTGTATTAGGGCTTCAGAAGGAGGGTTTAGGGTTAAGGGTTTAGGGTTTAGGGTCTTTCTTGCAGTGTTTTAACAGGTCTTTACAGGTTTAAGGGTTTAAGGGATTAGGGTTTTGTTGCCTGGACCCTTGACTGCCAAACCTGCTGCGTTCAATCGGGACAAAAACCCTAGATCCCAAACCCTAAACCCGAAAAGGATCCTTCTACTGGGGCCCTTAAGATCAGGAGGTCCAAGTAACCAGGGAGAAAAAAGTATAGACTTTTATTTCATAATGGTTCCTTTTAGGAACAGGTTCCAAAAAAATATCAAAGTATGGTACTCCAAAGCCCAGTCTATGAATCATGCACGTGCCTGATGGGGTCTTGTGGGGTTGTCTTCTTATGCACTTCCCAAGGATTCCGGGTTAGGGGATTTAGAGTTTCGGGATTTGGGGTGATTTAGGGTTTAGGGGTTCAGGGTTTAGGGATTTGGGGTTTAGGGCTTTGGAATTTAGGGTTTAGGTGTTAGGGTATGGGTATTTATGGTCCGGCGTTTAGCTAGCCACCCTCCTTGTACCCTCAAATAGGGGCATGTGATGGTATATGGTACCAAGTAATGGGTATTTAGGGTCTAGTAGTGGGTAGATGGACAGTCTAGAGTGATCACTCAAATCACTGGCCTCTTCATTCGACCCGGGATTCCCAAACCTTGATAAACCCTCAACCCTTAAATCCACAAATCTTAACTTGAGGCTATTGTGGGGGCTACGGAATGTAGTTCATTTGGGGTTAGCCTGTAGGATGGAGCCTATGGGTAGTATTTAAGTGTGTGGTTTGAATGGTAGCAGGAATCCGCGGTTGCGGCTTAAACCCTAAACCCTAAACACTTAAGTGGTCTGGGGTCGGTGGTGGATGCTTCAGCAGTAACGGGTTTAGGTGCTCAGAGCGCCGTCTCAAAGCACTCCCCAAACACGTTCCCAAGACGGTTCTCGTATTCAAGCTAAACCATAAGCCCTAAACCCCAAACCGCCCCAAACCCCTAAACCCCAAAACCCAAAACCCCAAACCCCTAAAGCCCTAAAGCCCTAAACCCCTAAAGACCCTAAAGGCCTGAACTACCCTAAACCCCTACAGCCCTTAAACCCCTAGAGCCCTAAACCCCTAAAGACCCTAAATCCCTAAACTTTAACCCCAGAGCTGGCCTCAATGATGCGATCGTGGGGCTTGATGTCGCCTTAACACGTGGGAAAGAGTGTGCTAAACTTGGAATCTGAGTTTTAAGGCTTTGGGTTTAGGGTTTAGTTTAGGATTTAAGTGTGTGCTACCTTAAGGCTGCCAAGAGGGTCTTGGGCTTTCTGGGGAAGGGTTTCGGCTTTGGGGGCTCGGGTTTGGGATCTCACTACACAAAGGACCAGGAGCCGATGCGAAGGTTTCAACTTGAATGAAAGGGTTTAGGGTTTAGGGTTCAGGGTTTAGGGTTTAGGGTTTAGGGTCTACCTAAGCCCCAAACCTTACAGCGCATTGGGTTCAAACTCAGGGCGCTCAGTCCTTACATCTAGCACGCTGAACTCCTGAACCCAAAGCTCTAACAGTTAGGAGCTTCGGTGTGCGTCAACGTTCCATGCACGATCCCACTGCACTTCTTTATAAATTACGGCATGCATGCATGGGGGAGAGGAAACTAATTGGGGGCGGGGGTGGGGGGGGGGGCTAGTTACTCTGTCTCAGTCGCCCTGATCTTTGTTGGCAACTCTGAAGCTTTAAGCCTAGCGTTCGGGCTCAAAGCCTCTGCCTAACACTTCCGGGAGTGCATGTCCAACTCGTGCAATTTGGCTTTTGACCGCCAAGATACATACCCTAGACCCTACATCCTAAGCCCCTAGGCCTAGACCCCTGAACCGCCTTAATAGTTAGAAAAGGGTTTTGAGGCCATTATACTATATTTATAATAAGGAAACCCCAAAATAGTACTGGTAATGATTTAGGCCCTTCTGTTAAACCCGTTCAGAACGCGTTAAATCTAAAGTCTGGAAGCTGCAAAGCCCTCCGCGCCCTCTCTCCCCCAAGTCGGTTGCAAGAGGGAGGTTGAGGCGGGAAAGCAGAAAAGGCGTATAAACCTTAAACTCTACCTTAAACTACCAAAACCTACTTTTTTGTAGGGTCCCTATAAATTCCCTATTAGGGTTTATAATAAGAACCTACAAAAAAGTAGGGTTTGGTAGTTTAAGGTATGACTTTGTCGCAATCTTGTAAAATAAACCAGGACCCGCTTTTTTGTACCAGAATTAGGGCCCCAAAAAAGCACATAAGCAAAAATCAGGATAGGGATATCCCATACAGATCCCCTTATAATGAAGCCCCAAAAGGTAGGGATATCCCTATAAAATGCTTATGCTTATGTCCTTTTTGGGTTCCTAAAGAATTTCTGCAGTAGTGTGGTGTCCCACTTCCGTGCGATTGGAACCCAGGGCACCTCGGGCACTTCCGGTTTAAGGTGAACTGGTAGGGTTGAGGGTTGAGGGTTGAGGGTTGAGGGTTGAGGGTTTAGGGTTCAGGGTTTAGGGTTCAGGGTTTAGGGTTTGGGATTCAGGGTTTAGGGTGCAAAAGCCTGAAGCCATGGGGCAATAAATCTCTCGAAACCCTCATTTCTTTGAGAAAACCCTTAGGGGAAAGTCGAACCTTAAGATGAATTCATGATAATTTGTATGTGTACCCCGCTGTAGTCTCAACAGAACCATACTATGACATACCCGGAGTTTCCACTCTATCAGTTTATGCCCCCCAAACCCTAAACCCCTCAACCTCAAATCTAAAACCCCAAACCCCAAACCCCTAAACCCTAAGCCCTAAACCCCCTAAGCCCTAAGCCCTAAACCCTAAACCCCCCAAACCCTAAACCCTAAACCCCCTGGACCCTAAAACCTTAAACGTGGCAAGAAACTCACGAGGGCGCCCTCCTTCACCCTGGGCGGAGAGCACGTGGCCGTAGAGTTTAGGGTTTAGGGTTTAGGGTTTACCTGTGGCCCAAAAAGACCCACCTAGGGTTCAGGGTTTAGGGATTAGGGTTGAGGTACCAGATATAGAAACCATAATAAGGAACCCTTAAAGGTAGGTCTTTTCGGCTGGAAGTAGGCTACAGAGTCAAGGTCTAGGGTTTAAGCCCAAAGCCCAAAACCCCTAAACCCCTGAACCCTAAACCCTAAACCCGAGGGGTGTAAGGTTCAGGGCTTTGGGTTTAGGGTACAGGGGACAGAGCTGAAGCTGTCGACCTACCTGAACCCTACTGAACTTGTCCTACTTTCGTTACTCTCGAGAAGAGCTACAAACCTGTCCCTTCCGTGCTTGATTCTGAAAAGAGCTAGAAAAAACACCTGTAACGTCGTGGAGTTTAGGGTTCAGGGCTTGAGTTTTTGAAGCCTAAACCCTAAACCCCTAAGTTTAGTCTTTGGGTGTCGGGCCTAAGGTCTTGAGTTTCGAGTTCGGGGCACAGTCGAAACTCGCTCGGGTCTCTCCTACTTTAAATAAACCCGGTTAGAGTTTAGGGTCTGGGGTTTAGGGTTTAGGGGTTCGAACTCAACTCTAAATCCCAGCCTCATAGCCGTCGTTTAGGACTCGTTTTGCTTAGGCTGGTGGTGCTGGGATATTAGTGTCCGTCGAACAGGCCTTTGTCCGAAATCTCGCTGAATCTAAAACCTAAACCCAAACCTAATGTAGGGGCCCAAAGAAACAGAATAGGGGTTTAGGGTTCATATTATACTTTATCGATTATAAGGAACCCCAAAACAGTGTTAGCTATTTATGCATATACTACATTAACCCCAAAAACCTACAATCTCTCCAAATGAAGGAAACAGCAACAGACCCCGATCCGACCCCCTAAAGCCCCCACACAGCTCGAACCCCTCAACACTTACACTAACCCTCAACCCTAAACCCTAAACCCTAAACCCTAAACCCTAAACCCTATATGGGTAGTTCTCTAGATTCGGGTCCTTGATAGGTCCTCAAGATAGTACGGCACCCTTATAAAAAGGACCCTAAAAGGGACCCGAATTTAGAGAACTATTCATATGCACCCTCAACTCCGCCCAAGATGCAAAAACCTTCTATCCGAAAAAGAACCTACAATCCGAAACCGTGAACCTCAAAGCACCAAACCCGATAAAAAAAAACCCTCAATCTCACACCCTAGAACACCTTGTAGAACACATATCATATCAAAACCCGACAAAACCCTTAAGCTCACACCTCAGAACACCTTGTAGAACCCATATCATATCAAAAACCACCTCCCCCTGAACCCTGAACCCTAAACCCTAAACCCTAAACCCTTAAAACTGCTGCCGGGACACATCGACACCACGAGACCGGAGTGAAGCCGGTTGGCGGTGGACACGAAGAGGACCAAACCTCGGGTTTGGGGTTTAGGGTTTAGGGTTTAGGGTTTAGGGTTTAGGGTTTAGGGTTTAGGGTTGAGGGTTTGGGGTTGAGGGAAAATGGGTTTAGGCTCTAGGGAAGATGGGTTTAGGGTTTAGGGTTTAGGGGTTTAGGGTTTAAGGGAAAACGGGTTTAGGGTTTGGGGTTTTGGGTTTAGGGTTTAGGGTTTAGGGGTTTAGGGTTTAGGGAAAATGGGTTTAGGGTTTAGGGAAAATGGGTTTAGGGTTTAGGGTTTAGGGGTCTAGGGTTTAGGGTTTTGGGGTGTAAGGTTTTAGGGTTTAGGGTTTAGGGGTCTAGGGGTT